CAGACACGGGGCCTGTAGGCCCTGGTTTTCAGGCTGTCAGGCTGAAACAGACACGGGGCCTGTAAGCCCTTGTTTTTAGGCTTTTAGGCTGAGACCGCGGGACGGGCCCTGCAGGCCCATGTGGCTGCGCAGTATGCCACACCCCCCCCTCCTTGAAAGACCAAGCTGACCTGTGAGGGCGAAGCTGCCTGTCAGAGGGACTGCGAACTTGGTGTCCAAAATGTCGAAGGACACGGCCTCGCTTACATGCGGGGCAAAGTACACAGGGATGGGATCAATGCACCGGTCGATTGACTTGTGCATGTGACTGTTAGCCAACGTGACTTGCGTGGGCTGCGACTTCCTCCAAACGCGTGGCCCCAAGCCATTGCGTACCAGAAAATCGTGGCCCATATACTTGCGAGTGCTTCCGCAATCGATCAAAGCGCTGCAGGTCGCCTCTCCGATCTGAATGCGTATGTACAACAATTGCACGTCGATGTCGTCATACCGTTGTGTCTTGAACTCGCGGTCAATCTTCGGAAGGTAGTCGTGAAGGTTGACAACCTTTACTCCGGCATCCATCAACGGAGTTGGTACTGCAGTATGCAAGTAATCCCGCAATTGTGCCCTGAGCACGTTGCAATGCGGTTTCGGCAATCGACCGGTCGGGGGAACGGGCATCCATTGGAAGTCTTGACCATAAAGTCGAATCCCTGGCGATAGATGGCGGCGAAGCTGCCGGATTCGTTGTCGATGGTGGTGAAACCGTGCATGCGGTGGATTGTTGCACGTGGAGTGGTTGGTCCAACGGTGGGACCAAGTGGACAGCGTAATCCTCGTAAGATTACCGAGGACTTGCGACATGCGCCTCCTCCCCAGATGTGTAGGAGGCCGCTAGCAAGGCGACCGAAACTGGCGGAGTGAGAGGTGGAGTCGCCTCACCTCCCGCACAGCTCAGTTTCCCGAGCTGTGGTATTGGCTGTCCATTTCCGGCCGACGATGCGGTTTTCGCCTTCCCTTTTCCCGGGAGTTCTTGTTGCTTCGCGGCTGGACGGCGGCCACCTGATCTCCCTCACGTGATGCTTGGGTGGCTGCCCGGTCTTCCACAATGGTGTCCGGATGGACTGCAGCGACATGCTGCGAACGCGGACCAAATTTTCCCTTCTCCACATGGGCTGGCTGCCACGTTGTCTTCTCGTGTGCAGCATCCCGGTTGGTCTTGATGATCTCTCAGATTGTTCGAAATGCCGGAACTTGAGCGTTTCGATGCTGGCGGCTTCGTGCCGCTGTAGCAGATCCTGGGCCTCCTTGCGGCGTGCCTGGGTGTCTGCATCTGCTTCGGCCTGAAGCCACTGCTTTTCAGCTGCTGCCTTTGCTTCAGCCTGTAGGCGGGCAGCCTCGGCTGCCGCCTGGCGCTGTTCCTTGGCCTTGATCAATACGAGCTGAGCTTGGAACCGCTGTCGGTACTCGGTAATGGACTCATTGGCCAGTTGGCCTGGCATGCCCAGAACTGAGCCCGTCATGGTGGCGGGGCACTGCTGACGTGGCACTGTTGCTGGCGTGGCACTGCTAACATGGCACTGTTGCTGACGTGGCACTGCTGACGTGGCACTGTACCAAACCGGGAATGCAGGCAAAGGGGGTGGGTGGGAGGGAAAACGAAGGTAGGTAACCAACCCAGCTATACTTTCCTCCCGGTCCTAATCAACAGACCAAAATTAATAAAAGAAGAGGATCACCCCCCCTTTTTTTTTTTTTTTTGTATATCTGTCGATCTGCTATGAGTGAGGCATGTCAGAAGAGTACTATGAGCGAGATCTAGGCTAGGTTCCGCAAAGTTTTGGCTTTCACAAAAATGCGATCTTGAAATTTTTCTTTGCGAAATAGAGTAGAGATGCGATTTTCAGAAAAGAACTAAATCCAGTTTCTGAGAATATGACAACCTCTTTCGGCTATGTATGCGAATATCAGAAATTTCGGTTGCAAATATCAGAGAAACGAAATGCTACTTTCAGAAATTTTCAGATATTTGTTGCGTGAAAACGAAATGCTAATACCAGAAATTTTCAGATAAAACGAAATGCTATTATCAGGAATTTTCAGATAAAACGAAATGCTATTGTCCGAAATTTTCAGATAAAACGAAATGCTATTATCCGAAATTTTCAGATATTTGTTGCGAGAAAGAGAAAAAAAAAAATTCAGAGATTTGATGAAGTCCTACTTGATTTACTAATAACAATCAAATTGAATCAATAGATCAAGCAAGCTGGCTACTTGATTGAGCGGGTCCTCTGATTGAGAGGTCCGCTCCGATACCAAACTGTCGCATACCGTAAAGGTGCAGACCAGAACAAGAACGGACCTCTCTCACAAAGTACAAGATAGCGTAGCGGAAGACTTAGATACCAATGATCCGAACAATCAAAGTTGCAATGCAGCCCCAAACATACATCATCATCATTCCATGGTGTGAAGGGGCCTGGCGCTCACACAGGAAGAATGCGCCAGTCCCCAACCATACACAGACGAAGAAGAGGGGGGTTAGACGAAGAAGAGGGGAAGATGGAAATGTCGTCAACACCAAGTCTACGGCACAGGCCCCAAATTATCCCTCATCAAATGTCTGAATCCCAATGTGGAGTCTGGATCCAATGTCGTCAAGTCCCAAAGTCACAACTCTCTCTCTCTCTCTCTCTCTCTCTCTCTCTCTCTCTCTCTCTCTCTCTCTCTCTC